AATGTATGACACATGGAAACAGGTTGGCAGTGTTCATTAGTCTTTATTGTTTGTTGTACAGTCTGACAGCAGCAGGAAGGAAAGACCTGCAGAACCTCTCCTTCACACATCGAGGATGAATAAGTCTGTCACTGAAGGTGCTCTCCAGAGCAGAGAGAGTGTCCTGCAGGGGGCGACAGTCATGGTCCACATAGATGTCAGTTTGTCCAGGACCCTCCCGTCCCCCACCTGCTGCACTGTGTCCAGGAACAGCCCAGGACTGAGCTGGACTTCCTGATGTTCCAGCTTCTTCCTGTCCCTCTGCGATGCTGCTGTTCCAGCAGACCACACCCTACAAGAGGCTGATGCCACTACAGAGTCATAGAAAGTTTAAATTTTTAATGTAAATAAGCACGTGTTAACCACTGTGTCCCCATGTAGATGTAATGTAGAAGTCCCTGTGACATCCAAAACAAAGAAAATACATTATTTTTAATACTAAACATTTGACAATTAACTTTAGTATTAATCAATAAGTTTTAAGTTTCCTTAAAACGTATTGAATTTCCTACGTTTTTGTGTAACCATCATTCAAAATCCCATCATGTGTATCACAGTGAAACATTAACAATAAACTGGACTGGTCCCATAACACCAACGCCCTGTACAAGAAGGGCCAACGTCGCCTCCACCTTCTTGCTATTGCAACAATACTTCAGACATTCAAGAATCAGACTTTATCTAACGCCAGAACACACCAACACACACTTGTATCCTGCCTGGCTCGGGTCGCTCTGCTCGTACGTCACACAGGCACGTGTGTGAACAGGAAGAGAAACGGAAACTTCGCTGAAGTTAGTATTAGCGCCACCAGCTGGACCGAGCATTGTACTACAGCACAGTTGCTCTGGCACGTTTGCAAAAACACGTTCTTGTGACCGTGGGCCGTTTTCACCTCTGTGGCGACGATCCGGGCCATTGTAAATTCAATGTGACCGTGCCCATACACTACGCTGCCGTGTGCTGGGCCAGCTCCGCTCTGGACTGCCCCCTGGACTCTGTGCCGTAGTAATAGCAGCAGTAGTACTAGTATTAGTGGCCTGCAGCATTAAGCTTAGTGGCTATTTCTTGAATGATTTTTATTTCAGTATAGTATTAGAAATAGGACTAGTATCAGTGGTAGTTGAACTAATTACACCAATTTAATACTAATACTGTGGTAGTATTAGTATTAGTTATAGGGCTATTGGTAGTAGTAGAAGTAGTAGTAGTAATATTTGTATGGCTCTATCAGTATGGTAGTGGCTGAATCTGTAGTATCAGTTTGGTTGTCGTTTTCTGACCGCAGTCTCACTCTGTCGCGGAAACAAAACACACCATAAAACTTGCCATCCATTCAAAGATCTTCTATTGTCTCCCGTCCTCAGTGTCTTCTCTTTGTGGGGGAGATGGCTACTCGAACAAAAGCACACGGACCGCAATAAAACACTCACTCCGCAACAGCGAAACATCCCCCCGAAAATCAACTATTGTCAGCTCGCTGTAAAGTCAAAGGGCTGTAAAAGATTTGGACAAAGAAAGTGGAGTGATACATCATATTCAGAGATCATCGGTTGTCCCCTCGCTGTAAGACAAAGGGCTATAAAAGTTTTGGACAATCAAACTGGAGTGACAGGTCATAATCAAAGATCATCTATAGTCCACTTGCTGTAAAGTCAAAGGGCGTGTAGACTACGCAAAGTAACGCATCCTTTTCAGAGATCATGTATTGACCATTGCAAAGTTAAACGAGTCTATTATGCATTTTCACACTGCAGACCTGGAATACTGCGAGTTGTTTGGACCAGGGTCGAGTTCTCATCTAGGGGAATACAGCAAAAACAAAAACTTGTCAAAACAATTTAAAAAAAAGTCTCATTACATTACTATGCAAGAACCTTGGAACAGAGGGAGATGCATTATACCGGACAACGGAAAGTTTATCGATTTTTGCTTACAAGGACAACTTTCTAAAGGAAAAAGAAGCACATGCAAAAGCCGAAACGGTGATGGCGAGAGCTTCACTTACCAAAACACGGCTCCATTTGTCATTATGCAAAGTGCTGTTCGTTATGTGACTTGTGTGTCATTTTGGTTTGGTTGGAAGGCAAAAAGTGTATGTTCGAGGTAAGGTGGCTCAATCTAGCTCTAAAGTGACCAGACACCCACTGCCACAAGAAAGGCGCAAAACAATTCACTACTGAAGATAGTGCTACGGTGCTACACCAGGACTGTGTCTGAATCAGAGATGCCAACTTGAGATCAAAAAATAAGGGACACCATTTGGGTGGATCGGGTTGAGCACTTTTTAGTCCTAATTTCAATCTACACAGTAATCATGGAATTTCATAATCACAGTTTTTAGAATGTAATTTATTGACTATATATATAAAAAAAAAACAAATCCTTAGTCAAAAATGAAATTTAATAAATAGGTGAACTCTTTGGCTGGTTAAGGACTTCATGCATTCTTATGAGTAATACAAAATATAAAAAAGACAAATGCTGTAACATACATTATTTATGTATGTTACAGTAAAGACCATTTACTGTAAAAGCAAATAAAAAAAACCCATGGATGTGATTAAGCCTACGCCCCTTTGACACTGATTGGTCGAAAGGTAGACGCTTAAACTGTGATTACTGTGTGTGTGTGTGTGTGTGTGTGTGTGTGTGTGTGTGTGTGTGTGTGTGACATGCAGTGAGTGAGTGATGCATTTAAGGCGACTCTGAAAATACGGGACAAAAGCCGTCCCGTATCAGTTCAATACGGGACGCACATAGTTTTTCTATAATACGGGACAATTCCGTATTTCAAGGGACGGTTGGCAACCCTAGTCTGAATGTCCACTGTCCAATACTAAATATCCCCACTGAAAGTAATATGTCAGAGTCCTGGCATTTTTAGTGGAGTCAGAATGTCCAACAAGGACAAAGTAGTTAAATAGTTAATAATCCATCTTGAAAAAAACATGTAGAATGAAGTCAATGTGACCAGCGAACATCTAAAGAATGGGCTTGTTGTTCTTCTTTTTTGTGTAGTTTATGTTGGCAGATAAATTGCAAACTTGCCCCATCGACCTGTCCAACTACTAGCACCACTCACACTTGCTGAAGGACACAAGAACATGTCATCATGGATCGTAATCATTTCAAATCTCAATATTGATCTTAAAGCGCTGTGCTCTCTGCCCCCGTACAGATGTCAAGGATCACTGCACATTGCTGCCAAATCATCCACTTAACACAGACTCAGGAAAGAAAACGGGAAAAACAAACAGGGGGTGCTAACTATGGACACACATTAAACCCTTTTGGTGGTGGTAGAAATAGTAATAGTAGTAGTTTTCTAATCCACTTTGGAGTTGATCCCAGAGCCTCTGGACTGGAACCAGACCTCAGACTATCTTGTAGAGGCGGTCAGGTGCAGCAGCAGGACTGAGTGTTTGAAGAGAGATTATCCACCAGTGAAGTGCCACAGATTAAACTTTTAAGATTGTGATCCTCTGAACCCCACAGGACATGGACGTGCACGCTCACATGCCACGTGCACGCTCACACACACCATGTGCACACTTGTCTTTTACATAGACACTTTTTTCTTCTTAAGTTAGGAGTTTGAAGTCTGAGTGAATGTATACAACATAGTAGAAGTAATAGTAATAGTATGGTGGTCATAGTAGAGCCATCAGTGGTGGTAGTAGAAGTGATAGTAGTAGTAGTAGCAGAAGTAGTCGATGTAGTAGTAGGGGCAGTGGTAGCAGTAATAGTAGTAGCAGTAAGCACACAATAGTTGATGATTACTCAGAGTGGGCAGCCTCCCTCCTGTGTTTGAGGAGGTGACAGATGTTCACACTGAAACTCTAACTATAATCAATACAATCAATTACAGACCAGACCAGGCTAGAGACCATGCAGAGCAGGGACCATGCAGAGCAGAGACCATGCAGAGCAGAGACCACGCAGAGCAGAGACCTGTGATAAATCCAACTAGTGGATCAGGGCAGGGACCAAACATCAGAGACCAGAGAGGGAACAGAAAGAGAGACCAGAACAGAGACCAGAGCAAAGACCAGAGCAGAGACCAGAGCAGAGACCAGAGCAGAGACCAGAGCAGAGACCAGAGCAGAGACCAGAGCAGAGACCAGAGCAGAGACCAGAGCAGAGACCAGAGCAGAGACCAGAGCAGAGACCAGAGCAGAGACCAGAGCAGAGACCAGAGCAGAGACCAGAGCAAAGACCAGAGCAGAGACCAGAGCAGAGACCAGAGCAGAGACCAAAGAGACCAAAGAGAGAATAGACCGACCAGAGCAGGATCCAGAAATCAGTCCAGCGACCAGATTGGAGACCAGATCAGATACCAGCGCAGAGACCATGCAGAGCAGAAACCAGTCCGACAACTGGACCCTAGAGCCTGGACGAAAGACCAATAATCTCTGAACATCATGTTATTCCCAGGAACTTTAGCAAAAAAAATCTGGTCAAATTATGGCCTCTCATTCTCAGACAATCAAAAATGCTAAACATGAATTATGCATTAATCCTACCAAAAAGTCTGTTTTACCTTAAATATATAGTTGCAGATAAAACGGCAGACAGAGTGAAGTTTGGGGCATTCATTCTAATCAATAAACCTTTGAAACATATTTGGTAAACTCTTTGAACTGATGAATTACAAATCTACAAATAACATAGCACAAAATATTCTAATGGTAGAATAGGAGGATTTCTTTTCAACTCTATAATGTAACATGTCAGACAGATTCAGCACAGAGTCTTCCATGAAGTGCTGAGGCAATCATCAAGGCAACTCTCAATTCTTGACATTAGCACGGATATTTAAGGGCAATTCAAAGCTCGGTAACGTGGCTTTACTTATGCACTGGTTAGCGTCGTACAGACAGCTGAAATGAGCTAATTGCGATCCATTAAAACATCATTAAGGACACTTTATAAGCTCTACTATTTCACCTGCTGGATATTCAGACAAAATGGCTTGAGCCCTGAGCAGTGACCTCCGCACATGGTGAATACAGAGTGGACATTCGGACACAGACCAGGGTCTTCTTCACTGGTCTGATCTGCTGATGCCTCTGGTCACATGGCCTCTGACCCTGGATCACAGAGTCACACTTCAGAGATTTAGCCAAAGCCTGGATCAAACCGGGACTGAGCCGGAACTAAAGCCAAACCAAACCAGGATTAGGCCAGGGCTAAGCCAGGGCTGCCAGGAGACACCCCAACTAAAGCATCACCGGTCCAATCCAGAGGAAAGCAGCTCTCACCCAAGACTGCACATCAAAGTAAGATTGTAAGGTTCCATTTCAGAGCCAGTCACTCCGCTTACTCGGACACAAAAAGAATCGCATACTTAAACTTGTCTTGTTTATACGGAATTGAAACCCGGACATGTCCTCTCATCCGCCCACCTAAATAGCGTGCACACAAAGGTCCATAAAGAGTGTGTATGTATAACACTGTATGTGATTTCTAGGTCATGTTGAGGAAAGTCTATGAAAAAACAAAAAGGAAAAGATGGAGAAATTTGGTCCAAAACTCTTTCATACATGAACAAAAATGAGGCCCCGACAAACGGAATACTTTGGAGATATTACAAGCAGAGAGTAAGAAACAGTCGTGGTAATATTGGACATGCAAATACTAGTTTAATCAGTTGCAATGATGAATACAGTCGCTCTATCGAGGACTTTATCACTTCGCTCTTCTACTTCACAGTGAGTATGGAATATTTGTATAAGTGTCTTGCCCAAGGAGACACTTTAGAGCCTTTGACACCTGGTATTGCAGCGGCAAAAAAAGAAGAAGATGGTTGGGTCTAGATGTGAACACCAGAAGCCACAGTGGGGCGGCTGTAGGTGTATAATAAACTTTTGTGTCCTTATAGTCAAGACACTTTACAAGTCTTAGTCTAGTATTAGTCTGATGTGTGCAAGAATGATTGTTGGTAATCGAAGGGGCCGATGGCACAAATGAATTGCCGTGGTCCTGGGCAAGTGTGGCTATGGTCGTCTGCCTCTGTGAATGGAGTGAATGAATAATGCCATGTGACCTGTCTGTATATTAGCCGTATCATTGAAACCTTAGGATATTCAATGGGAAATATGCTATTTCGATGTGTTCATCACAGCTCGACATTTTTGTTGACCCACATAATTCCGGTCCAGGCGAGCTGTGAATAATAGATGTCCAAGAGTGAGAGTGAAATTACTGTTGTGTTTTATCTCACTGCAATGAGTAAATCACTCAAGTTACAAATCTAGACATTTCACCCTCAAAAATGTTTTGTTGCTTCTTTCTGTATCTGTATCTATAAGAGTTTGTTTATGTGGATGACAGATATCCATATCAAAGCTCTGTATTTAGCACTAATGCAAAGAGGATAAATGGCCAAGAGTGATTTAGGCCAAAGACCAATTGTGTTGGTTTAGCACAGTCCAGATCCTCTGCACGTGTAAACACAGTGAGGATGGAAGAGGGGAGGTCATGACAGCGAGGAGAAAGGCCCTGAGGAGAGGTGCAGATTTACTATAATCCTCTGTTTTACCAACAAATCATTAAGAGTGACCAATCAGAGAACAGGGCAGCTGTCATGTGACCTGAATCAGCGCCGCTTACTCCCACAGAAGACACTGATCCATCATTTCTGCCTTAAAGCGTCTGCGTCATTGTCTCTCTGCATTGACCACTGTTCTATTGGTCAAGAATACTTGTCCATGCATCATGGACAAGTGATGTGGACAGATCCAAATAAACAATTTAAACATTAAGGAGGCTTCCATCTTGTAACAAATAACCTTTTGAACGCTGTGAGTTTCACCAAGAGAACTTATTTCCCACTCTTTGTTTACACCGGGCACTGGCCACCACCAGAACCCACCAGTTGGAAAAAGGTCCCAGTAACTCCACCATGGCACAAAGGGCCGGTCAAATTATGAGAACGCCTTGGCCCCCAGGGGCTCTATGAGCAGGCCATGAGGAGACAGACCAGGAGCATCCTCTCTGATCCTACACATGTACTTTTCCCTGAATATGAGCTTTTGGATTCTGGGAGGAGCAAACAGATTCACCTGTTTCAGTGAATCTGTTAAAGGAGCAATATGTAATATTTGCATGTCACGTCATCATTAAATGACCCGAATATTTCAAAAGACATTAATAAATCATGTTCTTTTCAAACACATCTTTAACTGATAACAGTAGTTCATCCGAGATATTTGAATATCAAAATTAGTTTTACGACCCGTAAAAGTTGTTGATTTTGATGTCCTACCCTCCGCCGTTTCGCCAATCAGGAAGTGTCATGTAAGTCCGTGATCGGGTTGCCAGAACTCCGCGCGGCTCATGAATCTCAGAGGTAAAATAACATGTGGCGCAGAACTAAAAAAGGTCTTGTTATGACTCTCAAATCATTAATGACAAAACAAAGACTAAAACGAGGATTTATATCGGGAAGCCTTTGAACAATTGAGACAGCTGATAAAAGTTCACGTGTGATGCAGAATTTTCTAGTTTGAGTCCGCTCTTCACAGCGAGTCTAACTGTGTGAATCGGTGGCCTAGTGGTCTAAACTATGCGCTTACGATGCAGGAACCCGGGTTTGATTCCGGGCTATGTCTTTTTGTATTTATTGCATGTTATCACATTCTATGACAGATTGCTCTAAAAACGGTAAAAGACGAAGGTCAAGACGTTTTTTTGCAGATTATAGCTTAATTGTAAAAATAATCATTTAAGACCACATGTACCCCAATTAAAATAATGTTAGTCTCTTTTTGATGTGGGACTTTTACATGTTTATCTAAAAAATAGGGAATAAATAAAATTGAAAGGTGATATCCTCTTGAGCAAACCCTGATGTTGATACGCTGAAGAAATACGTTCCAACATCCATTCTTCCCACTCCTATTTTGGACATCAATTGCTTATGTATTTTGCATAAACTATGTATAATTACATTGCTTTTATTTTGTTTTTGTTTTTTATCTCAAATGTCCAAATAATAATAAAAAAACATGAATCAAAACATTCATTCAACATTAGCACGGCTGTCATGGCAATGTGAATGGAGACGGACAAACAACTGATAAAATAATTCCCTGTGTTTGCTGCTGGATTTGGTGTGAATCTGGCAACCTGAGTCAGGGAGAGTGGGAGAGGACTACAAAATATTGACTGTGACTGCAGTACCACTTTTGGCCAGATTTTTACATATTGTTCCTTTAAATAAGGACATGAGGAGATGATGTGTGTGTGTGAACTGTATAGCACGTGTGTTGGTGTTCTAATGTATTTGTTCAATTGTTGGTATTTTGGATTTTTAGTCCACAGGGAGGTTGGTAATGTCTGATCTTCAACTCGGCTCAAAAATCAATGTTGAAGTGGTGTACATATTATCATAACCAATCAAAATGCTGGTATGACGTCTGTGAATGGAAGCCTCAGTGGCAGGTTCAGTGTACAGTACGTGGCCTGAGGAGATGACATGGTCTGAGGAGATGACGTGGCCTGAGGAGATGACGTGGCCTGAGGAGATGACGTGGCCTGAGGAGATGACGTGGCCTGAGGAGATGACCTGCTTTGAAAGGAACTGGTGATTAGCTAAGCCGGGTGTGGGCCTCAAACCCAACCCAGGTTCACTGACTTCCTGTACAAACCTGGAGAAGCGACAAGCACCACTTCTGTTACATTTAATGAGACAGCACTAATCAGCTGTCTCAAACATTGAGTTCTCCCATCACAGTACTAACCAGGGCATGTCCTGCTTAGAATCTGAGGCCTGATAGCACACACCTGACACCATAGATCCACATCTGGAGCTGGGTCCCTGGGTGTTGCACACTGCAAACACTGCTTCTTAGTTCCATTGGAGGAAGTTTGGCCTGTTTCAGATGGTTCTGGAAATGTTGAAAGAAAATGTCCAGTATTTTGTTCAAAAGTTCATTTATTTAAAAAGTGAACCCAATATATATCATAGATTCATTACATGCAAAACACAGATGTCAAGCATTCGTTTGTTATAATGTTGATGGTTATGGCTTACTGTCCATTTTCAAAATATTCCGATTTTCTGAGATGTTTTATTTTGGGATTTTTACAAGAGAAGATTTTTATTATAACAAATAAACCTTGAAATATCTCACGTTGCGAATACTGAATCTGTCATATATATTTTTACTGTGTGAGTTAAATAACAGGAGTAAATGGACTTTTGAACAAAGTTTTGTCTGTACAATGTTGACAGCCAAGGAACTAAGTGTGTTTAACAGCATGAACAGTTGGTGAAAGGATATTTATGTTATTAAGTAAGTAAGTAATCTTCATTTATACAGCACCTTTCACAGACCAGAGTCACAAAGCGGTTTACAATTGTTGCGGGCATTTTCCTCCCACTCCACACAGAGATGGGAGCGGGGTCCCCAAACCAGAGGCACAGGCTAGAACTATTGTACATGTTTTTATTGGTAGGAGAAACCGGAGCACCTGGAGGAAACCAAAGCACCTGAAGGAAACCTACGCAGACACGGGGAGAACATGCAAACTCCACTCAGAAAGGCTCTGTTCCGACCGGGATTCGAACCCAGGACCTTTTTGCTGAGAAGCGAGAGTGTTATCAATCCTAGGTTCTACCGTTTCTTCCTATGTCTGTGTAGGTTTCCTCCAGGTGCTTCAATTTCTCCTACCACAATTTCTTTTAACCTATTGTCAAATCATGGGTGACAGTATCTCAGTGGAGCACTGGTGTTTAAACCCAATGGTCGTGGGTTCGAGCCCACCACGACCCATGTCACCTGCTGCCACTGATGTCTGCTGTTGTTGTGTCCCTGGGCAAGACACTTAACCCCACATTGCCTGAAGCCCCTGCTGAAAGACCAATGCCATCTGTTCGATGACCGAGCAGCCATCTTCCCGTGGACCCACCACCTGCAGGAGGATCAGCGAGGGACTGGTGCTATGAGAGTTGCGTGGCAGCTCTGATTGCCCCCCCCCCCCCGACCCAGAAATGGATTAATAAAGGGGTAGAAAATGATATGATATGATATTGTCAAATCGTTTTACTCTTTAATTTCTTTAAATCTCCCTGATCAAGCCGCGAGCATCATCACCTGGAGATGGGTCCTCTTTTTTGAGACCCATGGGCAGTCCTGTAGAAATGTAAGGGAGGGTTGGGTTAGGGTACTGGATGGTCAGGGGGGATAGAGGAGCAGAGGAGTATCCCCAGTACGACAGAGGGGTCTGGGGTCAGTCAAGAGAAAGCGGTGGTGGAAGGTATTTTTTTATATTTGTAAATTGATGTTTGTGCAGTTACATTTCATAAAGAGAATGTCAGAAAAGATATACTTGTGTAGGAGCCAACCGTTGCTTACAACTTAATCCTTCTCGTGGCATTTGCAGGATGGGTCAAATGCAGAGGACATATGTATAAAGTATACCTTATAAACACAGTATAATGTATAAAAACAAGGGCACAGCGCTCTTGTCGGCGTGGATAGTCTCAGTGTCACACCTGTGTCTGCTCTTGAGTGCTGCCACTTCAGAGCTGATTGGATTTGGCTGCGGTCTGAAGTTACATGAGACAAAGTGAGTCCTCCTCCTTCTCTGTGTGGAGTGTCCTCACTTAGTCCTCGTTTGTCTCCTCTCTCCTTGTCTCCTTCGGGCCCTTTGTGTGCGCTGGCCTCTGACCCGACTGAGGATGTCTCGGGGGCACAAGGCTTTCAGGCCCATCACACTGTCCGCCCTGCACTGGGGGGGCCATTCACACTTCACATGACTTTTGTCCCCATCACACATGCACAAGCTAGATCCTTTTAAGGACTCACTATGAGCCACTGCAAACTATTATATTGTAATGAGAGGAGAAAAAAAGCCCATTTAAAGCTGGAGTACCTAACTTTCAAACAACAATATGTGGAACTATGTATTAAAATCTATCTAACAAGTATCCAACCAGTCAGTCAAAACAGTTTTGATTTGAGAACTAGTTTTCAAATGCATGTATTGGTGGGCCCCGTCACAGCAGCTCTAGATAAGATTTTTTTAGACAGACAGGTGAAAAAGAGAGGACCACCCTCACTCAGCTCACAGCCCAACCATGTTTTTGACTTACAACAATAACATAATGCTTAGATTATGTTGTGGTCTCATTTATTCGCAACATTTGACATGCCTATATATGTAAACGGCTTTAGGTATCCCAGATTTAAGAAACCATGGAATTGTTTCAGAAAGTAATTTGATTTTAAGTCACTATATCTACTTGAAGCATTCTTGGACCTGAAATCTACCTCATTGGGGCATCTCTATCACTCGTTTTAGGCACTTTTATCATCAAACTGCATCTCAACTATTTTATAGAGGCCTATAATTTATAAAAGCTGTAGAGGGTTCAAAATAAAAACAAATTATTTTGAACCCTCATTTACATTGCTTTCTTTAAGGAGTGAACATTAAAGGGTTATTAAGGTTGATATGTGAAAATAATTACCTCATTTTCATATATCAACTTTAATAACCCTTTCATGCTAGCTGGAAAAGTCCCACTGTACTGTATTTACAATGTTTTCTTTTTGTTTTTATGATCCAGATTGTTTTGAAAAGTCTCAGCAGGACACCCTCATGTCAATGGACCTCACCTCCAGCATCTTCCATCCTGGGGAGAGCACTGACTGGTCCTGAAACTTTTAACTTTGGAGCTGTAATGTCTCATGAAAGTTTAACATTATTACATTGTCAAAACTAAGCCATTTGTCATTTTGTAACTCTCTCTCGGATGAACGTTCATGCGCCACTTTCTCTCTGATGTGATAAACTCAATGCGATGGTGTACTTTTTACCCTCACTTCCATGTAGCGAACAAGAACAATGAAACACGTGCTGTGGGGAATCATGTCCGATCTAGAACCAGTGAGAACACGTTACACCTGTATTCACATCTTTGTTAGCTCCAGTTCTGGCCCAGATTTACTTTAAAATCCTTCTGCACAATCTGGCTCCTTCATATCATTCTAATTCACTTACTTTATAATGTTCTGTCGCGGTCTTAGTTCCTCAAATCTCAACATTTTCTCCTTGTGTAAAACTGAAAGTAGCAGAAGCAGTTTTCTCCAATTATGCCTCTTTTATTGTATTTGTATTGATAATAAATATGTAACAGTATGTAATAAATATGTAATTACAGCTCCTGCATTCAGCAGAGCTCTGTCCACTCATGCAGCTACAGGAAGACGTGTCTTGCCCAGAGGCACAGACTATATACACAGTGCTGATATCAAAGGGTTGAACTACACTACAACTGACGGCACGTTTTCAAACACTGCAAATGAAAAACATATTCTCTTATAAAACGTTCTTAGAAACATTAAAAACACAATTTGTTCAATTTGTTGACATCAGAAAATCAATGCATTTCAATTAAATTCACTCTTGTTTAGCCCTATTAAGTAAGAAATTAAGTCTGAATAACAACATCAAACCTCTGAAGCTAAAGAGGACAGGGCCTGGTTAGTACTATGATGGGAGACCTCTAGAAACACCAGGTGCCACAGTGGGGCGGCTGTGGCTGTAAAGTACCAAACTGTTGTTGTGTCCTGCAAACATCTGAATCTCAAAGTCTGACCTTTAATGTTCATTGTCCTCCTGGATCTGTGTTTTTGTATTAATTAAATCAAACAAAGAAAGAAAGACAGAAATAAAGAATAGTTAGTTGTTACTTACAGAAAAATGTATCATGTAGTACTTTTAGCTTCGCCTGAGGTTCATGTATAGATTGAAAACTCCAATCAAGTCCCTTCTTCACGTACTGTTGTTTGTCTGAGTGTGACATCACCTGTAAACCTTTCTTAGTATAAGGTCAAGTGTTTTTTTTTCTGGTCAGGGATTATCTCCACTGGTCCATGACAACCAGTTTTCACCAAATGCATGGAGCAAACATGGTCCCGACTTCCTTATCCCTGGTTGTTGTGGCCAGAGGAGGTGGCTCCCAGTGAGTCCTTCTCCACAATCAGCTCATTCATCTCAGTGAGACATGTCAATCAAAGCACTTGAGCTGCGAGGGGGCGGTACTTTGTGAAGTGTACCAGGACAAAGGCAGGAGTGAGCTGAAGAACCCACTCCAGCCACAAAAGGAGGTGCAGCGACACACCACTCATGCTCATTTCATCACTTACACATCTGAGACTCTGATTTCACTCTCCAAAAGTAGCTCAGATCTGGAGGATTTTAATACACATTTATAAAACGTTACATGTTATTAAAAAGTGAAATCAATATGATGCTTGGGTCAGGGATTTTATACTTAATTCTTGCTTCTTTGTTATGCTAAAGTTGGAGACTTCTTTTTTATGCTAGAGAGTTAGAGAGTTTAGACATGCTTCTTTATTATGCTAAAGTTAGAGATTTTAGACTTGCTTGTGGCTGCCGGATTCATCCCGGAAACCGGATTTGTCCGGAAGTTCAGTTTGCGCATGTCAAAAAGTGTAAATAAACATGTAAACAGTTTCTGTTACATACAGATTATATTCTTGATTTGTGCACATACATGTATCATACTGTCCTTTTCTTGTTTAACTAATAAATAAACACAGCGATCCACATAACAGGTGTATGATATTTAAACATGAGGCTATGTGCTAGCCTCATTTCCGTATGCCTTTGAACGCATCTGAGCGCAAGTATTTTTTTCTCTGAGCTCTTTTTCTGCCATTTCTCGTAATAAACCTTGATACATATGTGCACAAATCAAGAATATAATCTTTATATAACAATACAAACTGTTTACATGTTTATTTACACTTTTTGACATGTGCAAACTGATCTTCCGGACAAATCCGGTTTCTGGGACGAATCCGGCAGCCACATTGCTTCTTTTTTATGCTAAAGCTAGACATTTTTGATATGCTTCTTTATTATGCTAAAGCTAGAGATTTTATACATGCTTCTTTATTTTGCTAAAGCTAGAGATTTTAGACTTGCTTCTTTATTATGCTAAAGCTAGAGATTTTAGACATGCTTCTTTATTATGCTAAAGTTAGAAATTTTAGACATGCTTCTTTATTATGCTAAAGCTAGAGATTTTAGACATGCTTCTTTACATTATTTTAAAATTTGAAAACGTTTGCCTTTTCCTTCTTGTTCCTTCGATATAGGCAAACGAATCACTAATTGTTAGTTTGTATGCGGTTCCAAACTTCCATCGCTCTTAAACCCACAGATTGACGACAGTAAAAATAAACAGAAAAATCTGACGGCTTATCCGTAATGAAAATAAATGAAATCTTGTACAATAGGCTGAGATTGTGCTGAGTGATTTTTGCCCCAGGGCCAGTCCGCCAAGATAGGAGATAGGAGAGCAGATGAACGCACAACCGCTGAGCCATGAAAGTTTACCACACACACACTGACACACACACACTGACACACACACAGGCAGACAGACAGGGGGAAGTGACAGCACCCTTCGAATCATTTACAAAATAGACAAACATATTCATCACGAGAAGAAACAAAGGAGAAGACATCCCACGCTTCTGTTTGTAAGAATAGTGACACTTATCTATCTATAAAAGCAAGGAACGTCTGTCCGTGTGTCTGAGTGTCCCCAAGCCACGCTCAAGTTGGAATGAGCAGACAGACAGAAAAGTTTAAACATTGGGTATTTTCTGTGGGTGCCCTTGAAAAGCAGCCTGTCTTTCTAGCCATGCCTTGTTTTTATAGATAGATTACTTTATCAAAAATTATATGGGATTGCTCAGGACAGTAACATTAAATACAAAGTGACTTTCTACTGCTTTTCCAATGTATTTGTGCCTTCACACCCCATGGATCTCCCCCTATAGGAATGCATACTTAGATCAACATCTCTAAAGTATGTCTAAACTCTAAGGCTATATCCACACGAAGACAAAATGCTTATAATTTCAGAAACTTTTTCTGTAAACACGGAGTTAGCTCAGTAAATGTGTGCGTCCATATGAATGTAGTCAATACGCCTGAAAACGCTGTGAAACTATGCCAGACCTGTTGGTGGCGCTGTGACGCAATGACGGGATCAAGCCCAAACTTCCGTGACGGGAACTGGGCATGCGCGGAATTTTGTAAACAGACAACATGGCGAGTGGGCGAGCTGGTACTACATTAGTATGGACGGACGATGAGGTTGAACTGTTGCTTCGGGTCACACTGGATTAAAAAACCAACAAGCTACATTGTTGTTGTCATTATTTTCTGAGTGCGGCGCATGCGTGCTTTAACAAGAGGCGGGGCTTTAACAAGAGGCGGGGCTTTAACAAGAGGCGGGGCGATGACCCAAGCGTCTCAGATACATTGCGGAGAGGCAGTAACTACGGAGCGGCATATACGGAGTTTTGAAATCTTTCCACTCTGGGACCTACTTTCAAAAATGTTCGTTTACACCCCCCCAAAACGCCGGCCTCGTATGGACGATACACTGGATTGATAAAGTATTTTTGCGTTTAGGCCTGAGCTTGACTTCGTGTGGACAGGGCCTAAGTCAATGTCATGAAATACATGGATGTGTTTTCCGGTCATTTCTGGATCTCACACAATGTTCAATGACAAAAGTTGCAAATACTTTTTCTACTGGTTTTAACTTCTCAAAATGAGCGTTCACAACAATTTGTCTCAGTCGGCTCTGCTCTATGCAATAATCTAAGAAGTTTATTCAAAATCAAAAATGGTTTGTGTGTGAGTTACTGGCCACTGTGGCA